TTGCCCAGACAGTTTTATTAAGGAAGAAGAAATGCTATAAGCCTCTATCTATCCAGGGGAGCTCTGCCCCCACCTGATAACTATATGATTCTGTGCCCACTCTTCCTAAAGACCAAAGTGGTAGTTGGGAGATTGTACCCAATGTTCAAGAGGATGTTTTTTCTACTTTGGTCTTTGCTGTATCATTTCAATAATTCTCCTGTTGTAAAATCTAATTTGTTAATTGATCATCAATGATAGTAAGGAGATAGCAATGGGTTAAATTATATTGGGGCACTAATTACTGGAAATGGAAGCTAGGTGGTGGAGTAGATAGAGCACCAGGCCTGGGGTCAGGAAGACTCATCTTCATGACTTCAAATATGGCCTCGGACACTAGCTGTGTGACCTGGGCAAGTCACTTAACTCTGTTTGCCTCAGTTTCCTCATCTATAAAATGAGCTAGAGAAGGAAATGGGCAAAAAACTCCAGTATCTCTGCCAAGAAAACCCCCAAATGGCATCACAAAGGATCAGACTCAACTGAAATGACTAACCAAAAATTACTGGAAATGATATTGGGAGACACACAAGAATTAAGGTTGGAACCAATGACATTAAAGAAAACACTGCAATTCCCTAGGGTTCCTCCTAGAACCATGAGAGGGTGATGTAGTCACCCTCTGGGTCCCTAACTTACCAGTTTAAGTGGGAATTGAGATAAGAACCCTCAGAATCAAAAAATATGACTTTAGTATTAAAGCAGTTCAGAATGTCAGCTATGCAATGGACCTTAAAGTTATCTGGTCCAACCTTAACTTTATAGATAAATTAACTGAACCAGACAAGTTATGTAGATTGCTAGTGAGATCCTACAGCTAGTGAGACTACAGGTCAGACTAGACCACAGGTTTCTTGAAATGGGTCCAGTACTGCTCCAGGATGGCAAAGAAAGAATTAATTTTATAGGGCAGTTCTAACACATGGGAAATGATAATGGACCAGACAAGATCATTTCATAATTGAGTAACAAATTATGTGTTACATGTTATACCTGTTACTACACAGATGGAAGCTGTCATAAGTATCTGGTTCAGAGAAGAGACAAATTAGTGTAGATTATCATAGCCAATGAAGGTTGCATGGAGAAGCTGAGACTTGGGTTGGGCTATGAACGATGGGTAGAATGGAGAGAGGAGCAGAATGTATTCTAGAGAACAGGACCAATATGAGCAGAGGTACAGAGGAAGCAATGATCATAACTAAGAACAGATGATAGTGGGAAGTCTGGCCTGATAATGAGAGGTGAATATGGGGGGGATAGGTAAGATGGGGTCAAAATCTAAATGTCTAGACAGATACTTACTGTGGTAGGTAGGAAATAGAGATTATTGAGTTTTGGAGATTAGTGAGCAGACAAGTATTACAATGAAGACAATGTTTAAGAAAGATTAATCTAGCAGGCTGCATTAGGGACCAGAGATGGGGAAGATGAATATATAGGCAGGGATTTTAATAAGTAAGGGAAGAATGATGTGGTAAGGGTCTACATTAGGGTAACAGAAATGATAATGGGGAGGAAGATACACACACATGTATGTATATGTGCATGTATGTATGTATGTATGTATAGTATGACACACAGAGAATTCAGCAGCTCTTGGTTTCTATGAGTTAAAGAATCTAATATAGGCTCCATGATAAACTGAGAAGTGAGGTCTTTCCAATAGGCAAGTCTCATAGGTTTCTAAAGGTTCTTAAACTTGAAATTTTCATCACCTGAACCTTTATTACTCTCCTTTGCCCCTCTTGTGGCCATTTTGTAGAACTACAGTCTTGTAATTGCCTAAGTATATGTTTGGAGGTGTAAGATGAGGCACTATTCCCTCTTTGTCCTCCACCTTCAGAATGTGGTTGCTGTAGCCACATCTACTCATACTTTTTCTCTTTCTACTGGGTAGGTCATACTCCCTACTCACTGACCTTAACTCCATCCATACAGAAAGATTTCTCTACATGTGTGGGTGCTTTCTCCAAGATTATTATCTCTAAGTTACTAAATCAAATTACCTTTTCTCAGTCTTCATCCTTCTTGACCTCTCTTCTGAATCTTTCTCCTCTGTTGAGCATTCAATTTTGTTGCTGTTGCTGCTTTTGCAGTTGTCACTGGGGCTGCTGTTATTCCAACCACTTCAGGCTCAATATTCAGTTAAAAATCTCTGACCTATTCCCAAGTACCAGCCTTGTGAGGCCCAGAGTCTCTTTCAGAGTGGGAGAAAGACAACCCTGTTTTCTTGAAACTATCCTTTCCAGGAACCTACACAGCCAATCTCTGAATACTTTTCCTTGACCACAGAAGTCTGTCTTAGAGGCAGCTACAGAATTATACAATATTAAGGTTTTAAGAGATCCTTGAAGTAATTTAATCCAATAGCTTCATTTTGCAGATGAGAGAACTAATGCCTAGAGAGATTAATTGATATGCACAGATAATACAGTTAATGATACAGCTGGAATTAGTGCCACAGGATTAGAGCTGGAAGGTACCCTAGAGAGCGTATAGTACAACCTCCTCATTTTACATATGAGGACTGAGGTCCAGAGAAGTTAAGTGAGTTGCCCAGAGAAACAGGTAGTAAATAGCAGAGTGGGGCTTCAAATCCACATGCTCACCCCTAGTGCAATGTTCTTTCCATCATTGCTTCAATTATCTTTCTTCCCATTACAGCATATTGGCTTACCTTTCTCTTTTCTCAGGTGCCATGTCTTCTATGAAACCTCATCATCTCAGCTGAAGTATTTTATTAGAGCATTTAGCCCTTATTACATTCTGTTTGGCATCACACTTATTTGAGCACATTATACCTTTTTCCCCGACAGGTTATAAACTTCTTAAGGTAAGGGACTAAATAACTTTTTATCTCTAGTTTTTTTTTTAATCTCTGTAGATAAATTTTTATCTCAGTATCAGCTTGCATATTGTAGGTGCTTAATGTCTGTTAAGTTGAACTGAATTTTCTCTCTTCCTTTAATTTTGGAATCAAACTGGTATTTCACAGTCCTTTCTTCTTTCCTTCCTTCCTTCCTTTTTTTCTTCCTTCCACCAATATTAGACTTCCTATTACATACAAACTATTAAGCTGACCGTTATCCAGTTCATTCTCTTGGAAGGCTCAGGGACTAGGAGAAATTAGTATGTTCTCTTTATCTACTCCCCTCATATATGCATAGAAGTGAAATCCAGTTAAAATGTCAACATGGAAGGTAGATACCCAGTGACTGAAAGAAAAAATCTCAGAAACATAGACCTACTTGGTGTTGCAGGAAGGAGGTGCCATGAAGTGACAGCAAGGGTAAATGATCTGACTTTGGCATCCTGAAGATTATTGACCACTGGAAAATGATTTTTGCCCTTGAAATCTGCAGAGTAAAATTGTGATCCAAGAATAGGATTGGTTAAGATTAAACACGGCAGCCAGAAGGAAATAGACTTCTCTCTTTGCTAAGAACTTCAATGTAGCATCCTACATAGTACTCCAGAAGTCCTGCACATTTCCACCATAGGGGGTTCTTTGCTTAGACCGATAGGTAGATAGATAGATGGATAGATGGATAATACATTGCTTGTCAAATGAATCATTCATTCATTCAACAAATATTTACTAAGTATCTATGATGCACAACAAGGTATATGATATTCCCTGCAGACAAAGAGATGTTTATTTCAAGGAAAATGGTGAAAAATCCTTTTGAAACTTGAGTAATCATCTTCTAATTGATTCGTTGTATAATTTTATCATGTAGATTTTTTCTTTAGGTAAAAACAGAGTCTTGTTCTTTTTCTCAGTGCATCTTCCCTTTTCTCTATCTTGCTGTTGGCCTCTCCTGGGGACCTCTCAAGAGATTTACCTCCTTATTCAGTAGAGGGCAGAAGAGTACAGGTGTTTGCTGGGAAGCCCTTGCTGGTGCATCTCTAACAGGTGTGATTGCAGAGTTTAAGACAGTATTGAAGATTAGCTCCACCCTTATTCTCTCCACCCTCAATAAAGAAAAATAATTTCATTGATGAGAATTCTCATCTCCTGAAAACTAAGGCCACAATCCAGCTCTTCACAGGCCTCCCTAGGTGGTTTTCTGGGTGTCCACTCGTGCCCAATACTCTTTGTAGTTTGATGATCTTGCAACCTTCTTGCCCTTGGTACCACCTGGAGGGAGCTGGGTCTGGGGCCAGAGTGGGACACTGGGCAGAGAGGAATGTTTTTCTATTCCTCTTACTTTTTTTTACCTCTGGGTATTATAAGAGCTATGTATTTCTCTGATAACTTTTGCGAATCACTTGAGTATTAAAGTAGCTAGTATGTTTTTTTTTCCAGTAGGATGCTAAGAATTTGATGCTGACACCTAGTGCTGATATTTAACATTTAGCATTTATCATCTTGGGCTCAATATTTTTATAATGTTGAAAACCTCATTAAAATGTTGCTAGTTATTAATATAGGCTTAGATATTGGAGTGAAATCATATTCTCCAGAACATTCCAAAAATTTCAAGAAGAAGAAGTTAATGCAACTTCAGATATTTGAAAAATGCTTGTCCATGGACAAATTAATATCTCAGATCCTCGGTTTCTTCATATGTAAAATGGGGATGATTATATTTATACTACCTATCTCACAGGATTGTTGTGAAGAATGCTCTTTGCAAACTTTGCTATATAAATATGTTATTAATAGTCTACATATGATATCTAGTCCTGTCATTCAATATTAGTCCTTTAAAAGGGTTCTACTGAATTTTCCATGACAGCTTATTCACTCAGATATTTCTTCAGCCTCCCCTCATTATATAACCCAGATATCCAAACTTGCTATGATTTCTCTCCTTCTCTGTTTAATAATAACCAACTCATGACATCCTAGCTCCACCTTTCCTCTGATTGTAACTCTCCCTTCCCCTCCAATGATATCCTAACACATGTCTTGTTGAGGTCCCTCCCTTTCTCTCTGCCCTCTCAAACTCAACAGGGCTCTCTGTGATCATTTCTGGAAAACTAAGAAACACAGGGAGCTTCTCAGACCCATGACCAGATGGACCTGCTCTCTGCAAGAGCCACAGCAAATAAAATAGGTAAAGAGAAATAACCCTGGCCTAAGGCATGACAGGACCCAGATAGAGGGGGAATGGAGTGGAAGAGAGAGAGGGAAAGAGAGAGAGAGAGAGAGAGAGAGAGAGAGAGAGAGAGAGAGAGAGAGGCATTGCAGAATGAGAGGGATGTATATTGTATACAAGGAAGTGATTAAGGATCAGAATACATGGGAAGGGAAAATAGTGCCTGAAAGAGGTTTTTGTGACTCAGAGGAAGGAGCAATTAATCAACTGAAAGTTTGGAGACCTGGGTAATGGTCCTGACTCTGGCATTAATTTGCTGTGTGATTCTGGGCAAATAGTTTCCCCTTTCTCTACTTCACTTTTCTCATCTGCAAATATGAGGGAGTTTATATTTGACCTCTCACATTTTTTTCCAGCTTTAGCATTCTGTGGAAAAACTATTAAACAAGCACTCACTCTATGCCCAGAAAAATGCTAGGTGCTGTGAGAAAGTATAAAAGCCAAGCCCTGAAGTCCATCAGGGTTATTTCAGTCTCACTGAGGAGACAAGACAAAACGCATGAGAAAATTGTTATTGTCATTTGTTGTTCAGTCGTCTCAGTTATGTCTGAGTCTTCATGACACCTGAGTTTTTCTTGGCAGAGATACTATAGTGGTTTACCATTTCCTTCTCCAGCTCATTTTACAGAAGAGGAAACTGAAGCAAACAGGCTTAAGTGACTTGCCCAAGGTCACGCAGCTACTAAGTGAGGCTGGATTTGAACTCAGATCTTCCTGACTCCAGGCCCAGTGTTAATGAGTCTAAGCACAGGAGGACTGTAAAAAAGAAAAAGAGTGATGTGGTCAGGTTCATGTATGAGCGGACACTTGACCTAGGCCTTGAAGAATGGAGAGAATTTGGATTAACATTTGGGAGGGAGGGAGGACATTCTAGGTATCTAGAAGATCACGAGAAGGAGATAGAGTCAGAAAGTCTCTAGTTTTCCTCTATCCTCTTCTTCCACCTCTCCTTTTCCCACAGGAGAGAAAGCAAGAAGCGTAAATGGGATTTTCCCCCTGCTGCTATTATTGGTGCTCACCTTCCTTCTGATGCTGGGTCTGAGCAGAGGTCTGGATGATGACCTCACAAATGAAAGGACTTTCAAGGAGGAGCATATAGACTACCCTAAGACTAACCGCTTGTTCAGGTACTGTAATTCCATGATGCTGTTGAAAAAAATCCGGGGTCCCAATGACACCTGCAAACGGAAGCACACATTCATCCATGAGAAACTAGACAAACTTGTTAGCATCTGCACTAACTTTACCACCATTACTACGTGCAAGTACCCCTCAAGGATGGATTGCCATCAGAGCCAGATGAAGCTCCAGCTGACAGATTGTAAACTCATTGAAGGAACAAAATTCCCAGGATGCAAGTACCACTCTCAGCCCAAATTCAACTCTATCCTCTTCAACTGTGATGAACTAGGGCCTATATACTTACATGGAATTGTGGAAGATTCTTAGACCATTTCCTTTGCTTGGGACCTCCTGTCTTCCACGTCTACCTGAGAATCATCCTCACTGATCACTAGAATGACCAAGGTGGGACTGAGGGGAGGGAAGGGCATGAAGGCGTGAAATAGTTGAGTAAAATAGTTGAGTAAAATAGTTGGGGGCCAGTGATGATCCTTGCAGAGCCTATACTCTTCTATTTGTTTTTTCCCTCAATAAAATAATTTACTGCACTGAATGATGAGCTGTGAGTGTGTTTAGGGATGCTGGAGGCAAGCAGGCTTTATCTGCAGGTATACCAAATGGATAATATTATGTGTTGAGTAGGTATAATGTATGGTTACCCATGTGTTATCAGGAGTACCTGGGAAGGGCTCCACTGCTCTTTGAGATGCTGTTTGAAATTCTACTATTGTAACTTTATTCTTTTGTCTCATATTTGCTTCCTATTAAGTGAAAATATCATGGGACAAAGTAAGCCTTAATTAAACCTTACTAATCATTTGTTATAAGGGAACTTATCAGGTCTAAGTTTAGATTAAGATTGGGTTGTCACAAGTAAGTGGAAATGGGAGGATGCTGGGCACCTAGGCAGAAAATTGGAAGTGGGGAGTACACTTAGAAAGAAGAAATAATGAAGAAAGGCTTCTTCTCCTCTCCCAGCCTCATTCCTGACTTTCTCTGGACTTCAAAAATGTGTCTTCTCTACTGCTAGCTCATCCTAGAACTTTCCTAAACATCTGAAACAGGATAACCACTGCCCACCCACCCACTCATCATGAAATATCACTAAACAAGACACATACCCCCCTTCTCCCACTGATGAGGTCTTCCAGGAATCTCCTTTTTGTGGGGCCTGTTTTCATTCTGCTCCTGACTTTCTTTGCACTTCACTCCCCTCCCCACCCCCACCCCCATGCCTGGTACCTTTATTCCTCCACATGCACACCTTTTTCAACTCCCTTTTGTATCTTGTCTTCCCCCATTAGAATGTAAGCTCCTTGGGGGCAGGGTCTTCCTTTTACTTGTAATATGTATACCTAGTGCTTAGCACAGTGCTTCACTTGTGGTAAGTACTTAATAAATGCTTATTTCCTTCCTTCTTTCACATTACTCTCCTTCATTTGCTTTCTTACAGTTCAACTACTTTTTGACTAACTGATCCTTGAATGTGACATGACAGCTCCCCCTCCACAATTTTATACAAGTAGGCTCTAACATCTGAAATGAACTTCCTCAGCCTCTGCCTTGTAGACTCCCTAGCTTCCTTCAAAGCACAATTCAGATGCCACTTCCTATATAAGGCCTTTTCTTAACCCCTTCTTCCCCACACACTCCTACTTATTAGCACTCGATTCCTCTTGAAATCACTTTGCATACATTGTGTGTTTACTTACTTGTACACACATTGCCTCCCTACTTCCCTTCCCCCCCACCTATGTATGCAAACTTCTTGAGTGCTAGGTGGTACAATGCACAATTAACTCTTTTGTCTCATGTAATTTCTGTTGTGATTTCTTGAAATAGAGCTCAGGAAAACCAGGCTTTGATAATGCTCATTGGGATTCAAATGGAGTTACTTGACCATGCCTTAAACCCAAATCATTAGAGTTCTCACTAAGTGGCTAATAATAGGTCACAGCCCAAGCCTCACTTGGTTATTGTTTGGGTTTTGATGACTCAGAGTGAGTGTAAATGGCAACTCTTTCTGTTCTGGCCAGAAATCCTGGGGGTCTTCCCATCCCAATTTAAGTTTTTTTGTTTGTTTGTTTGTTTTTTTGAGTAGGCAAACGAGGTCATCTTTTGTCTCATTTGTTACTTACCTTTAAATCATTGAATGGGTGTTGTCTCAGACAAACTGAGACCTCGGAAAGACCTTAGCATAAAAAGGTCAAGGTCTCCCACTGCATCTGGGGTCATCTCCAGTCATTTTGACCTATGTCTTGCCACTGGATTCAGATGACTCTGGAGAAGAGAGTGAGGCTGATGACTTTGCACAGCCCTGCCTCACTTAAATCCATTTCACTTGCAAATTCAGACATCACCCTTCTGATGTCATTGGTCCTCTTCAAGAACAAAGAACAAACAACTGCACTATGTGCTAGACAGTTAGGAAAACCTGGGTTCAAATCCTGCCTTGGAAACTTTCTAGATATGTGACCCTGGGCAAATCATTTGACCTTTCTCAGCCTCGGTTTCCTCAGAGGTAAAAGTCAAATTATTAAGCATTTATTAAGCACCTACTATAAGTGCCCAGGTTACTAAGAAGAGCAAAAACAGATTCTTTTCTCAGGGAGATCACAATCTAATGGGTAAGACAATACACAAACAATTATTTACAAACAAGATATACCCAGAATAAATTGGAGATAATTACAGAGGCAAAATAAAATAAAGGCAAAAACAGATTTTGTCTTCAAGAAACTCACAGTCTAATGGGGAAGATAACATGCAAACAACAACTTATAAATAAGACTACACAGGATAAACTGGAGATAATCATAGAAGGAAGGGATTATCCTTAAGTGGGATCAAGAAAGGTTTCTTACAGAAGGTGGGATTTCAACTGAAACTTGAAGGAAGTGAAGAAAACCAGAATGAGAAAGGAGAGAATATTGGGCATGGGGGACAGCCACTGAAAATGAACTATGTCAGGAGATGGAGTGTATTGTGTGAACAACAGCAAAGAGACCAGTGTCATTAGATCCCAGAATATGTGGAGGGTAGCAAGGTATAAGAAGTGAGATAGATGATTAATTGGATCCATATTTTATTCTAATCAATTTTAATCAGTTTGATATGATTCCATAGGGGTAGTGATTATAAATTCTGTATATTAGGCCCTAGAGCTGTGAACTACAGAGTATAAGTTCACTTGCTTAATCATAGTGTTGAGGTTTAGGGGTGCTGGGATCCCAAAATCACAACACAGAGGTCCTGCCTGAAAGAATTTGACCCAAGCCTTCTTTCAGCCAAAGACAAAGTTTATTAGAACATTCGTCATATTGGGCAGACTCTTAAGAAGTCTGAACATTAGTGAGTTGTTGGCTAGATTTTAAGAATCTGAGCACCTTAATGGAGACAAGATGGACCTTATATATAGAAATACTGTAGGAGAGATCTAGGAATGGCCGAGTAGTCTGTGGGAACTGTGAGGTAATAGAATGCCAGGGCCCTGGACCACATGGCCAAGGGAGAATGGAGCCTAGCTAGGATTAAAGGGTGGGAAGTGGCTGGGGGCCATACGGAGGTAAAACAATGGAGGGCTAGGCTAGGTTAAGGGTAACAGAGAATTGGGAGATTGGGAGAATTGGGAAATTGTAGCCATAATGAAAGGCCAGTTGATGGGATTATTGCCTCAGGCGAAGGCCAGAGATTTGGCCATGTGGGAAAGTCCAGGGTTTTTCTTTTCTGGGGTCCAGATCCCAACCCCATCAATAGGAAGCTAACTAGAGGACTTTGCCCTTGTTTTCCCTTGTTAGGCTGACAGCATAGTAGTAGTGATTCAATGACATGAAAAGTCCTCCAGGTATTTTTGTTGTACCTCTGTTTCTCATCAACCTTCTATTGCCCATCATAGGTAGATGGCCAGAAGCATTTGGCCAATGAGTGACCCTGGTTGCTGGCCTGTGGCCTGCTTTTTTACTGGCCCATCAGCCCACGTAAATGTTTTGTCATCTGTTTATCAGCCCATCCCATGAGTCTGCTCATTGGCTTGGTTGGACATCTTGAAAGGTCAAGATAGGTCTGTTAAGGTCTGTTCATCAATCCATTTGTCAACCAGTGGGAATCTCTATTTTGTGTAGACCTTCCTAGAGGGTCAAGGGCAAAGTCTATCAACCAATGAGACTCTGGTTTTTTTTATTTTGCTTCATTTATATTGTCTGGGTACCAAGCACTATAAAACTAAGGCCCTGGAGGAAGGGGACACTTCAAATTGGGAGGAAGATCTGAGGTCCATTTCATTAGAGGGGGGCCATGAACCCTTTAATAAAGAGCCATTGGCTCAGAGCTCCGTATCAGTTTTTATATTGTAGGTTGGACAATTTCAGAGCCCACAGAAGACTGGAAAAATAAGAAGGGATCAGGTTATGAAGGGCTTTAAAAGTCAAATAGGATTTGATATTTGATCCTGAAGGTGATAGGGAGACCCTGGAGTTTTTTGAGAGAAAGGGGTGTATATGAGAAATGTTGTGATGATAGAATTGACAGGATTTGGCAACAAATTAAATATAGGGAATGAGAGAGCAAAGAGTAGAGGATGGCAGGTAGGTTTTCAAACCTGGGTGACGGGCAGCACATTGGAGCCCTCAATAATAATAGGGGAAATGGGAAGAAGGGAGCATTTGGGGATCAATAATGAACAATAGTGAATTCAGTTTCAGATATGTTGAGTTTAAGATGTCTACAAGAAATTTAGTTTGAGATGTTCAATAGGCAGTTGGACATGCAAGACAAGAAGTCTAGAGAGAAGGTAAGACAGATCAGAGCATCATCTTCCTAGAGACATCATTGAATCCACAAGGGCTGATGAGATCACAAAGCAAAATAGTATAGAGAGAAAAGAGAAGAGGGCACAATACAGAGCCCTGGGGGCCTCTCATGATTAGCAGCATTTCCTGGATGGAAATTAAGCAAAGGAGACTGAGATGGGGTGGTCAGATAGGTAGGAAAAGAAAACATCAGGAGAAAAGGGCAACAGACTGTGTCAAAGGCTGAAGAGAGGAGGAGAATAAAACGAGGATAATACTAGCACCTGCTTCACAAGGTTGTTGTGAGAATCAGAGGATAACATGCAAAGTCACTTGCAAATCTTAGAGTGCTATATAAAATCTAACTACTCTGTGATGGAAAGAGGGAGAAAGAGAGAGAAAGAAGGAAGAGGAAGATAGCCAAATCAGAAATAATAATAATAATAAAGATGGTGATAATGGTCTCATCAGCTCCCATGAATTTAATTAAGGTATCTATGCTGATGATTCTCAAATTTGCCTTTCCTGTCTCACCCTCTCAGCTAATCTCTAATCTTGCATCTCCAACTGCCTTTCAGCTATCTCCAACTGGATATCCAGTAGATATCTTAAAATAAACCTATCCAAAATAGAATTCATTGTCTTTCCCTTTAACTGTCCCTCAGCTAC